TTTAGTATTTGGTATAAAGTACGTATTTTTACAAAAAAAAATCATAAATACGTACATTTTTAAGTGTTAAAAAATGGCAAAATCCGTAAACTATTCAAAAAATGGCATTTTCGTAAGTTTTTCCAAAAAAAATGGCATTTTAAACAATAATCCCCATATTTTAACCTAATTGTTATTCTTTGGCCATCAAAGGTGTTCAGTTTTCTTCTTCAATTATCAGTTTTCTTCTTCAAGTTACGTGTGTGCTCTGTGCCGGTGTATTTTTCCAAAATCGAGTAAGTTCATAACTTAGAAAAAAATTAGCTTTTTCTGTATAATTGTAATCATTAATTTTTATTCAAGTTTCAATTATACTTAGAAATACAATGTAATCTGTGAGATCTAAGAGATGAACAATTTGTAATTGTGATCCAATTTTAATGATCATGATTAATAAATTAAAATTCTTCTTATAAACATGTAATGGTGTTATTTTTTATATTTAATAACAATTTTATTGAAAACTAATATGAATAGTTGTCGATTCTTCATTGTTTGATCATGTCTAGAGTTTGGTAAAAATAAAAGTATTAATATTGGAGAAAAATATAGTTTTAATTGTTTAATCATGTCATCAATGTTCGTTTGTTTATACTTATTTAAAAGTCATCTTTTTAGAAATATATTTATCAAACCACACTCAACAAAAAAAACACAAATATATAATGTTCTAAATTGGAATGAATCTTTTGGAAAAAATTTATTAGTCGTAGACAATTACCAGTGTCATATGTTTATTTAATGTTGACATTTTTTTAATCGTAATTTGTTTTTAGAAGAAGCGATGAAAAGGTATTATAACCCAAAAGAACCATCTCCACCTCGTAGTGAAGCAGATGATATTGTTTTATTTTGGGATCCTGCAGATCGAAAAAAAATAGCAGATTATCATCCAAATCAAAGAAATGAGGTAATTCGAAGATACTTGACTAGAGGTCCTTGTCAACCTCGTGGACATATTTTCAAACAAACATTGATAGGAAAGACAATGAGGTGGTTTAATCCAGCTTGGTTTGATCGGTACAAAAGCTGGTTAGAGTATAGTGTGAAAAAAAAAAAACTTTTTGTAGGATGTGTTTTTTTTTTGTTTTGCGTGAACTTTTAGTTGGATTTTTTTTAGTTATTAAAGATGATTTTTTTTTAAGCTATATTTTTGACCTGGATAAAATAAAATCTTGGATCCGCCACTGTTTGTAACCCTCCATTGTCGTCCTTGCAGTTCTTAGTTGTGACCATGTCTCCTTTGTTGAGAATTTCTTAACTTGCATCCAAACTTAATAGTACTTTTAACCTCATTTTATATCATAGATCATGCCCTATTGTGTGTTAGTATCACGAGCTTAATTATTTTTGATGTTTTATGCGCTACTGTTATTTCATAAAGACATCAAACAATTTTGTATGCACATGTTTTCTTTTTGTATAAATTGTATTGGCTCAGCTTTTAATGTAAAGGGCTAAATGCAAGGCAAAAATTATAGGAAAATAGAACCAGGTCAATGGCGGTATGCAACTGGTGGCGGTCGTCCAATCCTAGATTTCAATGAAGATGATTGGATTTTTGTAGAAGAAGAAGAAACTAATCAAGGATATTCTTCATTGATTTGGTAATATCTGAATCGTGTTTTGAAAAGAGGTTATTAGATGAGTGACTTTAACAAAAATGATGCTTGTCTTACAATTGATCATCTAAAATACTTGACATATAGCTTTTTTGTGCTCAAAAACATCTTCACGGATGCTTGGTGAACTAGCTCATATATAGATGTATAGTGTTTTGTGTATCTTGTAGAGTTTAGGAATGGAGTTGTTTTGTTCCCTTTTGAACTCTTACGATAGCTCTATTCTTTCGAGTAAGATTTACATTAACTATAGTTATATTTATACTCATGTTCTAGATGCAATAGTTCTCTGTTTGTCAAGGACCGTGCCAAAGGGAAAAGAGAATAAAGAGAAAAGTTGTTTTCTATTGACATTGAGAAAAGGTATATATACATCCTACACATGAAACCCTAAACATACTTAGGGAAATTAACATATTAGCCTAAGTATAATATATTTACATTATAGGTCCCTAATACTCCCCCTCAAGTTGGAGCATGAAGATTATACATGCCCAACTTGCGCCGTAAATAAGCAAATTGTTGAGAACCCAAAGCCTTAGTAAAGATATCCGCTGGTTGCTCCGTAGTGGTAAGATGCGCAGTAACCAGTGAACCATCCTGAATTTCATCCCGAATGAAGTGACAATCCCTCTCAATATGCTTCGTCCGCTCATGAAAAACTGGATTGGCAGCAATATGTAAGGCTGCCTTATTGTCACAAAACAAACGCATCGCTTGCGGATGAGACACTCCAAAGCATCCTAAAAGCTCACGATTCCATTTCAACTCTCGAGTAGTAAAACTCATTGCACGATATTCAGCCTCTGCAGAAGAAAATGATACCACATCTTGTTTCTTTGTCTTCCAAGCAATCGGAGAATCACCCAACATAACAATAAATCCTGTAACCGATCTCCGAGACATGGAACATGTAGAAAAATCTGAATCACAATAAGCTGTCAATTGTAAATCAGGATCAGAACTCAACACAATACCTTGACCCGGACAGCCTTTAAGATATCTGACAACCCGTATAACTGCAGCCCAATGCTTGGCACGTGGTTGTTGCATAAATTGAGCCAACATATGCACAACATAGGACAAATCTGGTCGGGTAAAAGTAAGATATACCAAACGCCCAACAAGCCTCCTATACCTCTCGACATCCTCATAGAACTCTCCTTCATCATCCGGCAACTTATGGTTTTGCTCAAGCGGAGTAGACACTGGTTGACATCCCAACAACCCACATTCACTTACAATATCCAAAGCATACTTCCTTTGCGACAAGTAAAAACCATCATGAGACCGAGATACTTCAATGCCCAAAAAATATTTCATAGCCCCCAAGTCCTTCATATGAAAACATTCACTAAGGTATCCCTTAAACTCCTGAACACCATTAAGATCATTTCCCCCAATCAACAAATCATCAACATAGACCAACACAAAGAGTTGCATAGATCCACGCTCCAAGGTAAAAAGAGAGTAATCGGCTACCTGCTGAGCAAACCCATACCCTTTTAGTGCTGCTGCAAGCTTAGCAAACCAACAACGTGGTGCTTGACGTAGACCATATAAAGATTTCTTAAGGCGACAAACTTTTGATTTATCTTGAGAAACAAAGCCAGGAGGTAATCTCATATAAACTTCTTCCTCAAGATCCCCATGTAGAAACGCATTATGAACATCCATCTGATGTACTTCCCATCCTTTGACAGCCGCAATCTTAAGAAACTCGCGAATAGTTGTCATTTTCACAACATGAGCAAATGTCTCATCAAAATCTAACCCTTCGACCTGTCGATTTCCCATGGCCACCAAACGAGCCTTGTAACGTTCAATTTCCCCATTCGACTTATACTTGATAGTAAAGATCCAATGACTGCCAATAGCTTTCTTTCCTGGCGGAAGATCGGTAATATCCCAAGTGTCATTTGCTTCTAAAGCATTCACCTCTCCAGACATCGCATTGCACCATTTCTCATCCTTAACGGCTTGCGAGTATGACTTAGGAACCGAGATAGCAGTAATGGCCGCAAGAAAAGCTCTATGTGAATCAGAAAATCGGTCACAGCTCACATAATGAGCAATGGGATATAGGACCGTACCTGGAGCAGAGGATGCTGATTGAGTGGGTGCCGGTGAGAGTGTGGGATGTTCAACTGAGCAACGTGTAGTATGTAGTACATAATCACTTAGATGAGCCGGAGGTTTTCTTTCCCGTTCGCTTTGTCTAACTTTAATCCCTTCACTAGTCAGATTATCATTCCCTAATTGACTCCCCCTTTCCTTCAAAGCAGTATCTGAAGTCTTTTTATTATCTTTGGACCCCGTAATATGAACATCGGACGAGCTGGATGCTGGATCGATCGATCCGTTAGTGGCTGATGTCTCAGTAATTTCCTCTGGATCGATCGATCTAGGCGTGGGATCGATCGATCGCTCCGTCTCGGGTCCAAGCTCGTCACATGTCAGTAGCTTGGGATCGATCGATCTACGTGCCGGATCGATCGATCCCGTTTGGTCCGTCAACTCATCAAACGTCAGTAACTCGGGATCGATCGATCCACGTGCCGGATCGATCGATCTAGTCATCTCTGGTCGAAACTGATCATCTTCAAACTGTGCGGGATCGATCGATCCCAGCTGTGGATCGATCGATCGCTGTTCCGACAACTGATATGGGAATTCATCTTCTTGAAACACCACATCCCGAGAAACAAAGAATTCCAACTTCTCCAAATCATACACACGCCATCCCTTCTGACCAAATGGATACCCCATAAAAACACACCGTCTACTTCGTTCCCCAAACTTATCTTTATCCCGCAAAACATTACGAGCAAAGCATAAGCTACCAAAGACTCGTAAGTGAGTGATATTAGGTACTTCCCCAAACAACAGCTGATAGGGTGTCTTTCCTTGCAAAACAGTGGATGGAGTTCGATTAATCAAATGACATGCAGTCATAACACACTCACCCCAAAACTGACGTGGTAAGGTAGCTTGAAACATCAACGATCTAGCAACATTCAATATATGTCTATGCTTTCTCTCCACTCTACCATTTTGTTGAGGAGTATAGACACACGACGTTTGATGCATGATTCCCTCTTCTAGGAAGTACGATCGCAAACCCATAAATTCCCCGCCATTATCACTACGTACTACTTTCACCTTCTTCTCAAACTGTTGTTCCACCATTTTGAAAAAATTCTTAAGAGTTACACCGACTTCACTCTTTTCCCGTAACAGGTGCACCCAAACCGCTCTCGAATAATCATCTACTATTGTCAGAAAATACGCAGCACCCGAAGTAGATACTATCCGATACGGACCCCAGAGATCACAATGAATCAAATCAAAAATTCCAGCAGCTTTATTAGAACTTTCATGAAAACAATCCCGGGTTTGTTTAGCCCGTAAACAAATATCACAAACTGTTGTGGAACTAACTTGCTTTCCAATATCTAAATAACTCGATAAATAGGGAACAACATGACTAGACGGATGACCAAGACGACGATGCCATAAATCCCATGATCTTGAACTGCTCACAGTCTTGTGTATCTTCGCACCAATCACCCCTCGAAGCACGTACACGTCCCCACACTCTTCACCAACCCCAATCAGCGTCTTCATAGCCCGGTCCTGTATAACACACAACTCATCATTGAATGTAATAGAACCCTTAACCACTTTCAACAACTTTGCAACCGAAATTAAGGAGCATGTTAAATCCTTAGAGTACAAAACTCCTTGTAGCCACAAATCACCCCCGAGACATATATCACCATGTTGGGTGGACACCACATGATCACCATCCGGTAGACCGATCATACATGGATTGGTATTCATCACATTAGACAAATAGTCTAAATTACCAGTCATGTGGTGTGAAGCTCTTGTATCAATAATAAAATCAACACATTCTTTCTTACCATTCAGCTTCTCATTAGGATTTGACTTTTGAGAAGCAAAGAGACCCTTGAGAGCATTCCATTGATCATCACTCATTTGTGGTAGAGATTGACGATCCAAATCAGCCGGTGTTCTTGTTGAATTAGCTTGTATTCCCCCAACAATATTTGCCTGAACACCCGTGACCGCGTTAGCCCTACCACCGGACCCGCGACCACGTCCAAACCGGCCACCACGTCCTCCACGTCCACGTCCACCTCTACCGCGATCATTGTAGTCACGACCTCGTTCTCCCCACCATTCAGGAAGGCCAATTATCTGAAAGCAATCAGCCTTTGCATGCCCATACTTACCACAATGAGTACATGTCACGTCCTTCTCGCGATAAAAATTGGAAGTTTGACCCCGTTGTGCAGCCTGGACCGCAAACCCCACAGCCTCCGGAGTGGCATCACGATTCCTAGTAATCGTGAGTTGTCTCTCTTCTCGAATGATCCTTTGATAGACTTGTGAGAGCTTGGGTAGTGGTTCCATACTTGTGATAGTAGAACGCACCGTACCAAACTTCGCAGAATCTAAACCATTCAAGAAGGTATTGGTTCTCTCTTCATTACGGTCTTCTTCCAACTGAGCAGCCAGTTCTCCACAACTACATGATCGAATAGGCTTGTAAATTGCCAATTCATCCCACATCTTCTTAAGTCTCCCATAGTACACCATTACCGTATCTCCGTTTTGCCTACAGTTTGCTATATCAGCCCGAAGCTCACTGATTCTTGGCCCGTTTCCCGCAGAGAAATGAAGCTTCAAATCTTCCCACAACGCTTGAGCTTCATCCACCATAGAAATCGATGTCCTGAGAGTCGTCTCAATCGTGTTCATAATCCAAGCGATTAACATAGAATTAACCACTTTCCATTGTTCAATCTCATCATCCTTGGTAGGTTTCTCCAAGGTCCCATCAATAAACCCTAATTTCCGTTTCGTTCGCAAGGCGTTCCGCACATGCTTAGCCCAATCTTCATAGTTTTCTCCCTTTAATTGAACAGTAGTAATCACATTACCCGGTCCATCAGAAGGATGGAGATAAAGTGGAGAGGCCCTAGCCTTCTCCGCCACCGTGAGTCCACTCCCGCCGCCGCCTTCCGCAGTCTTCACCGGAGCAACCTCTTTCCCGTCAACGTCAGCCATCTTCTCTTCTTTTCCCTTTGTTTGATTTTCTTCTTAAAACCCTAGCTCTGATACCATGCCAAAGAGAAAAGAGAATAAAGAGAAAAGTTGTTTTCTATTGACATTGAGAAAAGGTATATATACATCCTACACATGAAACCCTAAACATACTTAGGGAAATTAACATATTAGCCTAAATATAATATATTTACATTATAGGTCCCTAATAGACCGGAGGTTCAAATTGCTTCTCAACGTCAAAGTTAAAGTGACCATTCAACGGCTGGGAATGTTCATGGACTCATCAGGATCTCTTCTTAGGCGAAGAGCCACATAGCTTTCACTTAGATTTTCGATTGATTTGATGTCTCTCTATCTTATTTTCTTTGTAATAATGTTGTTTAATTTCTCTTCTAGTTTGTTGAGTGTATAAGCCTATAAGGGTTAAGAGGATCTTCCCCACTCTTCGTTTGAATCTTATGTAATATAATGATTAGTTTGACTAAGAAAAAAAAACTACTATGTTCGACAACTGTGGCAAAATCAGAACTTTCACATCTTCTTTCTCCAAATATTGTTGGGTCCAAATCTATTGGGGCGATATATATGCATGTTTTTTAATGTTGCGTCTAGGCTTAGGTGAAGGTAAGGCTCACAGTTCATCGCCTAATCTAGATGATGCTAGGCTTTGTCACAAAGACTCTCGCTCTAGAACGTTTTGGCATGAGGCGCCTTATGTGTTTGTGAAATTAAAATCATCATTTTATATGCAGCATCTTTTCATTTAAATTTTTAGATAATTATGCTTAAACCTTAATATTTACTTATTTTTATGTTTTCAAAATTAATTGCACTTGAATTTATTGCTACTACAACTATGAGCTATTCCTAAAAACCTTGTCACGTTAAATTTTAACTTCAACTTTGTTATATTTTCATCTTCTCACGACGTTTTTCCTTCTATTAATTGATCTAACTTTAGTATCTCTAGTCTCGAGTCTCTATTCTCCCTACTATTTCTTTATCATCAATTAATTATGTCTGATTAAGTTCCTACATGTTTGATTCAGGTCCTACTAAGGAACTTGATCCAACAAGGAAATATGCAATTGTTGTTCCTTTTAAAAATGAAATTTTTTTTTACACAAATCACAAACGATGGAGTTCAACGTCCAAAAAGACATATGGTTGGAGGTTATAAGAATGGTATTCGATGTCCTTTAGTTCTAGATCGGATGAAATTAAAAAATTCATGTCTAAAAATCCTGAAGTTGAAGCCAATACTCAAATGATGCCACCACCAACCATTCAATACGATGAGTAGATTATGAGGAAGATGTAGTTGAACTTCAGCCTAGTCAAAGACGTCAAAGATGCCAAGGCTAGGCTGGTCAACCGTAATTGAAGAAACATAAACGTCTAATGGACATATTTGTTACTCCAACTCTTCTTGATATCTTAAAAGAAAGAAAAAACAGAAACCATATTTTTAGAGTATATGATAAGAAACTTAGAGATAAAGCATCTAAACATAAATCATAATTAAGTAAAAATCAAAAAATATATACATAAACCGAGTTGCCTTTGTCCAATGGTAAATGAGAGAAAAGTCTCCGCCACATTGGTTCGAGTAGCATTAGCTACCGGAATTCGAATTCTAACATAGTTTCTCCGGGCCTCAAAATTAGTGTTTGGACAAAGAAAACCTTTAGGATCACCTGAATTATCAAAAATAAAAGTAATCATGTATATATAGATGAACAAAAACTTTGAAGAAAAAAAAAAAAGAACAAAACCTTTTTAAAAATGTTTTCATTTCTAATTCTCCCTTTTTTTTCTACGACATTTAAGTAACTCTCCTTACTTATATGTTAGGAATTATATAATTTGAAGAAACAAATTACAGTTTCTATTTCTTTTTTATTGATAAATAAGTATATTTACTTATCTCCAAAAAAAAAATATAGTTACATATTTTTTCCAACATCTTGAAAAAAAAAAACCATGGAGGAGGTAAGTCCAATACCCAAATAAAATAGACAAAAGCCAGCCCAAGCCCAAAAAGCCCTTCTGATATACACACTTACAGACCCCAAACCAAAACTATAGTCCTCACGAGAAATCGCAAGGGAAACAAAAAAATCCCCAAACTGTGACCGGAATTAGGGTTTTCACGATGTCGTCCGGGAAGCCAAAGCAAGGTGGTGACACACGATTGGTGGTTGCTGCCACTACGGCGTCGGCATTGATGGAAGCGAAGAAGGCTGATCATGGAGGATCTTCGTCTATCGTTGAGTATAAACCGCCGGTGATGCTTGAAGATGAAGAAGATCTAGAAGTAAAGCTCCGACGAATCCTTGAGAACGTTCCTGTTCGTGTTAGCAATACTTCTGGAAGTTCTGCTGGTTCTGGTTCGGGCGATTTCCATCAGGTAATTAAACTAAGCCTTTCTCTTGAATCGAAGGATTCATAATTACCTCAATGAATCGAAAATTGTATTGCGAATAAGGAAGAGTCTTTTGTTCTTAGGCTTAGTTAGGTGTGGTTTTGAAGTTATTTTCAATCTATTAAGAGAAGTTCATTGTTGGGATCTGAATTTTCTTAGTGAACTTGTGTTGACATTGTTTTCTTAGTGTGTGATGGATCACAATGTTTTTATTGCCTAGTTAAGAGTTTGATAGAGCTTGAAATGAGAAATGGTTTTGAGGTTTATATGTGGGAAGCTCATGTGGATGTAATTATACTAGCCTGTAACGTAAATCGGAGGAATTCGATAGATTATCATCTTGTATTACTCTTTTGATGGGCTGTGAAGAATCTCAACTTTTGGAATCAAAGATTGTAAAAGTTAATTCAAAACTCTAGCTGGTTAAATATGAATCCTGTTCTTTAGTAACTGAAAATTAGCTGGATCATTTGCAAAAGAATGCCTGATATTTTGTTCTTAAGCATCGTGGGTGTGGTTCGAAGCTACTGTCGATCAGTTAAAAGAAGTTCCTTGTTGTACATATGATAGGAATCTTAAATTTCTTAGTCAATAAGTGTTTTCTTAGTTTTGTGAGGGATAACAATATCTTTATGCCATTGTTAAAAGTTTGATAGAGCTTGAACTGACTGTATTCTTTGTGGGAGGCTCGTGTGGGTAGTAATTAATGGCCGAGTGCTTTCTGATTTGTCACCCTGATTAATTTTTAGCGTGTGTACATCCTTTTCTTATTTTACTAGACATTTAAACTTGTGTGATACTGATGCATCGTTTTCTATTCCAGTACCGGCAAATGAGGCGAAGAGAACAAGACCGACTGACAAGGATGGATATTGACTACAACAAGCGGTTACAAATGGCAGAGTTTACTATAAGAAGAGAAGAGAAACTAAAAGCTGCAGAGGAGAAGACATCAAAAAAGCGTTTGAAACGCCAAAAGAAGAAGCAGAAAAAACAGGAGAAGAAGAGAAAACCAAACACTACTGAGGAACAAGAAAAGCAACCTAAAGAAGGACAAATATCATCTGACGAGGACTGTGAAGATGAAGAAGAGTCTGTGCTAGAACCTTTACGTCCGATGTTTAATATCAAGTTCCAAGAGAACCGTGCATAGCTTTTCTTGTGACATGTAAACACGATCCCAAAACTATATTCGCAAGATTCGTTTCTTTCTTTCCTTTTGTTTTCGACAATGTATGGGGAAAAAGAAATGGAGCAAGGTTTAATCGGTTTGTGTATGTATTAGTGGTGAGCAAAACAAATTGAAACCTGAGAAAACCAAACCAACCTGAATTGGTTAAACCAAAACTGAATAGGAAATCGAAAAACCAAAATTGGACCAGACTTTTTGTGTATCCAAAACAGAATAAATTGAAATTCATTTAAAATTTTTATTTAAATTATAGAAATATTATATGTAGAAAATAAACATATTTATTTTAAATATAAAAATAATGATATTCATATTAAACAATTATAAAATTAAATAAATAATAAACCAAACCGAAACCAAATTGTATCGAAACAAAACTTAACCGAGTTAAAAAAAAATTAAGTGGTTCCAATTTTATATAATCCAAATAACCGAAAAAAGCCGGATCCAAATCAAACCATAAAATGAGATTGTTCATCTCTATATGAAAAAGTAATATATTTTTCACAATGTAAAATCTATATTATTAATTGGGAATCACTCAAAACTAACAAACCTTATTTTGGTAGATTAATTACAATAAATGTCATTATAATTATTGAATTTAAAACAATAAAAAGAGAAAAAGATTCGAAAAAATATATTCAAAAAGTATATATATTTATTTCATTGGAGTATTAACAATATATATTCAAAAAGATTTTTCTGTCTTTTTTATCCGAAACTCAAACAAACTAAATTTACTGTTATGATTTAATAAAGTTTCCATAACAATTGGCAATAATAAATTCGAAATAATAAAAACGAAAAATACATCTGTTTACAATATGATTAAATCAAATATTAAATTAGTTTATGAAATCATATCACGAACAGTTATTATACTTGCCAAATATAACTCTAATTATAGAATATATATATGTTTTTTAAAAAAAAAATCAAGCATATAACTCGAATCTATATTTAATACTTTGATTCGCAAACATATTGTTAAGATTATAATAGTCTGTTAACCCTAAATATTGAAACTGAATTTTTGTATCCTATAAATATAGAAGTCGATTATTCAGTACCACTCACTAATTATACGTGTTTTCTAAATGTACTTCAATGAAACGCATGGTGCTATTTCTTGAATCTAAACGTATACAAAAATAATTCCTTTTGTTTTTCAGTTTGACAGGTAAACACCTTTCATACTGCGATAAGTTTTCTACATGTTACGGATCTTGGCCATCTAATGCAAGGAATATTCGATTCATGTGGTTTGGATTTTATGTGTTTAGTTCTCAGTTTGTGTTGTATTATTGTATTGTTTTTTGTTCTAACATATACATAAATACGACATATAAACTAATTCACAGAAAAAGATTGAAACAAATCATTGATCTTACAAAGCTAGACAGAGTGAATGCATACTTTTTCCAACAAAATTGACACAAATACATGAGTAGACTATATTTCTAAAGAAAAAAACTCATTGAAATAGGAAAAGTTGTAGAAAAGTATCCATATCAAAGTAAGTGTTCTTTGAATAAATGTAACGGTAAAAAATGAATTAAGACGAGTAGAAAGAGAAATTGTCTAAGTTGTAGACAGGTAAATGAAGTTATAACGCTTGCAGTAGAACTCGAACATGAAGTTTTGATTCTCGAGTGTCCCTCATGGCTGCAAATCAACATTCCATATTTGTACTATCAAAAGTTATACGCTCGATTGTGTGGATGTTTAAGGCAATTCGGAACGAAATTCTACGGAGCGAGAATTTCAAAAATAGAAAAAAATGAATATTTATGTCCTATTTAAATTTTAGGACGGGATCGAGATTGAACGGGATGAGATGAGAATTCCTAAAAAAATGTCGTATAACATATTACAATTAAAATAAAACATTGCTTGCAATCATATATTTAAAATGTTTCTTTCAATTTATCTAGCATAGCATGTGCCAAATAAAAAATTTTGGGACAGGTAAAGTTTATTTCGTGATGGAAATTTTGGAAAATTTGAGTATTTTCTAAAACATAATAGTGAAATATTGAGAAAATAAAAAAATATGGATAACTTCCACTAATTATGTAAAAATTAAATACCTAAACGAAAATACATAAAATACGGATATTCCATCCGAATCTTAGACCTACACGATATACAATCACAAACGAGTAAATCAACGCTTATGTGATTAAATGTGTGTGGTAGATATGTGACCATACGGATTATCCGTCTCAAAATTGATATGTCTATGTTCTCTCTCTTTTTAATTATGTAATTGTCTTTACTGTAACCAAAAACAAATCTGATTAATTATTTTGTCTAAACAAAATTGAAACTAAACCGAATACCAAACTGATATGAGGTAGGATAATGAATGTTATACTAAATAAATACATCTACAAACATAATCCCGCACGTTCGTGCGGGTCCGAATCTAGTGGAAATTAAAAAAGGAACAACAAAAATTAAGAACCAAAAAAAAAAAAAAAGGCAAAAAGATAGAATCAAAACAATTAATCAAAGTTAAGAATGGTTTAAAAGCAGAAAATAAACCTAGCTTTAACCTACTTTTAAACCCAAAATTTTTCATAGATTTCACTAAATTTTTAATTAATTGATTTAAAAAAAAAAAACACAAAAAAACAAAAACTACTTAAATTGAAACGATGTGCGAAGAACGAAGAGACTCGAGACAATTCTGGGATTGGTGAGAGAGATCGCTACAATGGAAGAATCTGTTCATCAATCGATTCGCTTTGGCTCAGGTTTCTTCTCTCTGTTTCATTGTTCTACGACTCCATTAACGTGTAGATCTACCGATTCATCTGATTTTGAAATTTGTTGGACTGATGCAGTTGCGGATTTGATTATGTGGAAGAATCGACGCGTAGGGTTTCTTTTACTTGGATCAACAACATTGTTATGGTTCCTATTCGAGAAATGTGGATACAGTTTCTTCCCTTTTGTTGTTAATACTCAGCTTCTTCTCGTTGTTATACTCTTCCTCTGGGCCAAATCTGCTATTCTCTTCAATAGGTACTTGTTTTCTGGAATTTTGAGTGAAAGCATGTCACATTTTGCATCATGTTGTAGATAAGATAATGCTAAATTTGTTGTCATTTTTCTTGACTAGACCTATGCCTCAGCTTCCTAATCTTGAAATCTCTGAGGCATCTGTGTTTATGGTGGCTGATACTCTACGAGTTTGGATTAATACGGCGCTAGCTGTTGCTCGTGAGATTTACGTTGGAAGAAATGCAAAGCAACTCTTTCGGGTCAGCAAACTTGTCCCTTTTGTTTTCTTCAATAGATTGGCACTTAGTCTGAGACATTGAAACATTGTTATTGCTATGGCAGGTGAGTGTTGTGTTGTGGACAGTATCATTTGTTGGCAATTTCTTAAACTTCCTCACAATACTCTATCTTGGTGAGTAGTTTTGTTTTCCCTTTTCTTTCACATTGTTCATTATTGATAGGACCTATAAGTTTATATGCTTTTGCACTCAAGACTTTCTCTGTGTGATTTTAAATGGACAGGTGTTGTTCTCAGTCTGTTGATTCCCATTCTGTACGAGAGATACCAGGATCACATTGACGAAAAGCTATCTTTAACACATCGAGTCGTTCAGACACAATACAGGAAGATTGACGAAAGATTACTACAGAAGATTATTGCAAAGCCCACAAATAAGATAAAGAAGATGCAATAGGCAAGCATACTGACCTTTTTAAAACCATTTATTCAGTTAGTCCTCTGATACATTGTTCAGTTTCAACATGGCAATGTTGCTTTGATAAGGTGTTCTTGTTAACCCTCTAGTGCTCTAATATTTTAACAGTAGCCTAGGGTTGGTTCAGGAATAGCTTCGCCAGCTCAACAACAGAGATGTTGCTTTGATAAGGTGTTCTTGTTAACCCTCTAGTGCTCTAATATTTTAACAGTAGCCTAGGGTTGGTTCAGGAATAGCTTCGCCAGCTCAACAACAGAGCTTACATTATTTGAGAGCTGAAATTTTAAAGGAGAGTGTGAGAATACGTTAGGGGGAGATTCTGGACTTGCGTAGGGTTTTTGTTTGAGCATTGGTAGAGAGTTTGGAGACTTATCTCATTAATCAAGTTTCTTCGATGTTGTAGTTCTTTGGTGAATACAATTAGATGAGGAGTTCACCGGTTACAATCTCAGCAGCTGTATTGTTTATAAAATAAAACTACAACACATCAACAAAATATGCTTAGATGTCAGTGATACAGCAATTTTGCATGATCTGTGTTGATACCAGTTGCATATTTGCTTCTTTGAACATATCAAAAAGGCACTGAAAACCTCCTATCTTAGTACTTCATACACCAATACTAATCTGTTAGCACTCTTTTTGTTGTATGCAGTGAAAGATACAAGACAAAGTAGGACTGAGTGGGAAGGTAAAACTAAGTAAAGGTGAAACAGGCGACGTAACAAGATATGAGTGTAGATGGCTAGAGAAGTTGAGACTTGAGTGTGGTTCTGTTATGAATCAACCCTTCATTTGATTCTCTCTTTATAGAGACTGTGGATGGATAAGTCTATGTGTAATTTTTGGGAGCTCAATGTGATTCTAATCAGAGTATGGGGCAATTTCGGGCAAGCAAATGGTTTTCAGCTCGATAAATTTGTTCCCTTTTTTCTACTTTAGTGCTTGAAATTGATATGGAGACAATAAAAAACAACTCATGTCTCTTATGTGATTTACGAAATACTAAGAATTGACAGAACAAAAAAGCTGATTTTATGCAAAATGTTTGTTATGAGCCAAAGCCTTTGACGTGTTTCTTCTAGTAACAGGTGCCGTGGTGATTTAGAGAATTGAATAGCTTAAGCTAAAGAACAAGAGATTTTAAGCTAAGCTTCCTCTTAACCCTAGTCTCTCTTGGAGATTAAGGTTAATTTTTGGAAGTTGGATTTTTTATTCATCATAAGGAGTCCTTAGACCCTTCTTACAAGCTCATAAACCTGTCATGAAGAAAAGGAAAAGCTCCAAAACCATAGTTCTAATGTTGTTCATGGAAATTACTCTAATCCTTAAATCAAAACCAAAACCATCAGACCAAATAAACCAAAACACCTAAACCATAGCACGTATCAATGTTGTTCAGTTCTGTTAACATTTTACTTTTTCTAGTTATGGCTTAAGTTTAGGAAACAAAAAACAAGTTATCCTCTTATGTGGAATTGTGATTTTTAGTTATGAAATGCAGTTATCCTGAGTTGTCTGTGTGATCAATAATCACATTTGTAGTTCAGCAATGTTACTAATAAAGCCATTGAGTCCGCAATGGTTGGTTCTCGGTTATAAAAGGAAACAAGCCTCAGCTTTCAACGTTTATGAATACATGAAGTGAGGCCGAAAAAGGCAGAAACTCAAGCAACCTTAGGAACTACAACAGACTCCGAATTGGGCACTGTCACAGACCGCAACAGCTCCAATGAGCAAACAAGGCCAAGGAAATGAGAGAGTAAGGTGTTCGCAGATGCCTGCATAAAGCCAGCTCTTAAGTCAAATAGTGAACTTACACAAATCAATTTTACAGATCTTTGAGTAAAGACTTATAATAAGAACACAGCAATATTGTAGAGCTTAATACCTGAACTAGGAAGACATCAAGAGCAAGAACGGGACTGTATCCCTGAGAGACTCCCTGGTAGAAAGGGTTTGCTGAAGTTGTTAAAGCCTTAGCAACTAAAAATCCAACCGTAGCTTGCATCCCGAGAAGTGCTGCCCCCATTCCCAAAATATTTACCATAATCCCGCTCCTCAAACCTTTCACAACATCAGCACGAGGCGGGGCCTGAAACAATTGCAAACCTTTATTAAAACTGGAATTCTCCCTTTAGACACCAAACTACGAAACTGAGTAACAGGACCCAAGAAGCAGCATCAGCTAATCAGACACCTGACTGGATCATACAAACACAGCCTAAAGACATAAGATAATCAAGTGGCTCTTTTGTTCTCAGCCAGAATTACCAAAGGTTCAACAGCTACTACTAGATATAACCTCACAGACAGGCCTTTCACAAAGAAAATAAAACCAGTTAACACACATAAGAACCTACAAGCGCTATGTTACGGGTGTTCATTTCCATAGAACAACAGTTCGACCAAGAGCAACAGTTCGACTTATGAAAAGCATAATTACCAGAGAGAGTCAACTTTAACTTATTCAGATTGAACTACAGCGAAGAGCAAGACATTGTTACCTTGGCAGGGTCGATGGAAGTTCGACGGAGCCTCTCTGAGAGCCGAATATACCCAAACGACCAGAAAACTGAGACAAACGAAGCAGCGATCCCACTAGCAGTTGCATAGAAAGTAGCAGGTGAAGTAGGTTTCCCAGTTACAACAATGGAGAAAGATAAAATCACCGCCGCCACAACAGTTGACACAAGCTGCCCCCAGAAACCAATACTCCCAAGCCTCTTGAAGTACCTAGAAGTCTTCTCCAATCTCTTTGCAACCTGTTAAAAAACCACTCATACTCATAAAAACAATCTCTTTCACACCAATACAGTTACTGGATAAAGATTCTTCACACTAAACAATCAAAGTTCAATTCTGAAAAACTCGAATCCAAATTGTTATCCACTTCCTAAATTCAAAAGCAGATTGTAACTAAATTTCGATTTGTTACATCATTTCCTCAGATGATCATCAGGCTCTCTTTCTACATTCAATTTCAGCTAGCTTGTGACAAAATCAAGATTCGAGCTGAAAAAACCGAAGAAATGGCTATAGAGAAGGAGAGAGAACCTGAGCGAGTTTTGCTTTGTCGACCTCATTATCACCGGAAACGGAAGAAGGAGACGTCGGAGAGTAAAATGCCACCGTGGATGGTGCGAAACTAGGTTTAGATCCTCCGATTTGGAAACCGTAGACGGACAGAGACGGTGGCGATTGGTATGAAGAGATGGTGGCTTTCCTCTTCGGAGCGAAGAGAAATGGATTAAACAATGGCAGGGAGCGAGTAGAGAGGCTTTGGTGGTTGCATGGGTGCTGGAAACCTGGCCGTAGCGCAACCGCGGATACGCCGGGGGAGCTCGCCGGCGGTAAGAGTAGTGACTGCATATTTTAGTCGAGTTTTTTTTAAGAGTAAAGTTGCGAATTGGTGCTTTTAGGCTTCGTTCTATCTACCTACAGTTGCAATGGGCTTTTTTGCTTTTGCTACCTAACGGCCTTTGAGAGAATATTTTCTTTTGCTTCTTTTTTTTTTTTTTTTCACTAAAGATTTTGTTTATTATAATCCACATCACAAAAGTTACAACCCATTAAAGGCCCAAATGATTACATACATCACTTGTATGTAATCACACAATACGTAGATGAAACGTGTTGCAAGAAAATCGTGGAAACTTTTCGTCATCCTTTGTCGTCAATTACTCCGATTCCGGTGAACTCAATCGACGCCGAAAAATGGTAAAGCATCGACTTTTTGTTGTTTCTCACCGGAGACTGCATAAACAGAGAGAAGGGATACAATAACAGAGATTTCAACCCCATCAACTTATCAAATCACCAAACACTGAAATCCGGCGAAAGCAAGAAAGGGGAAATCAGATTGATCCACACAAATTTGCTTGATCGAAGCTTCAATTACATGTAGAAACGGCTACAGGCAATCTTCATATGCTGGAAACAAGTCTTCTTTTCATGACTTTGAACGTAATCACCGATGAAGATTTGTTGTAAACCACATATCTGAAAACCGGTTTGAGAACATCCGAGAGAGAAAGCAGCAAATCCACCCGATCTGGCCGGATTAGACATGGCATAATCCCACTGGAAACAACCGGAGACATAAAACAAAGCAAAACTCAAGGAGCTAGTCGGAGAAGACCACCGTTGATCGAGAAATCGCCGGATTGGCACCACCAAACATAGATCCAGAGAGATTATTAAAAGATAAACTAAACAGACTAAAGAAATCGGCATGAAACCGATTCACGGCGGAAGAAAATACAAAACCAGCCAAAACCACTTGTGGAAGCCGGATTTGCTGGACGAAAGCCGACCATTTCCGCATAAGAAGCCGGTGGATGTCGGGCTGAAGCCAGTTGAACTAATTGGACGGCCTTGCCGGAGAATTCCAGACGGCGGGTAAGGAACGGCAGCCAACTCTCTCTCTGGAAAATATGGAAGAGAGAAGAGAGAGAGGGCTCAACCCACTTCTGCAGTATGGAAGTATATGGAATATACATGTTACTCTCCTAAATTTGAAACTATTATTAAGTTTCATTTTATTCTCACTTGTCATTTATTAGATTATATACGAATATTTTTATACATATATTGATAGACCCAAACAAGTGAAGCACGAACTCAAGATAGATAGCCATCTTGATTTATCTTATAGATAAACTTTAGTTCTTTAAGAATATAGACTATATATTATGAATTTTTCACCTCTTTTGGTTGCATAAGATGAAATTTTCATTGTAGACAATGAGATTAACTTGAAATTATTTGATTTTAATCTCACAAGATTGGTTGATGAGAAGATGGTAGCCATTAAGCAAACACAAATGCATAAGAATTGTTGCAGACAGCATTGTCACTTTCATCTCCACCACCATTTTTCTCCATTACTTACATACTTTAAGTGAACACACACCAAGACACACTCTTACACCAACAACTTCAATAATATCAAAAAAAATTATTTTCTTTTTGAAATTGTAAGAATATATTCCAAATATATTAGACAATTTGCGCGAAGAACTATATATAGTGGAGGAAACATAATTTAGATTACATAAATGAAATGTATTGAGATGGTTTGAAACACTAAAACAAGTATATGTAATTTACTAATTTTGAAAAATAGTGGTGCATTGCATGTGGATCTTTAAAATAATTTATTTGGATATATATAGTAGTATCAAAATATATTTGTCTTTTTTAAAAAAAAAAATGTTTACAAACAAACTGAAACTCTACACATGAAAATAGAAGAGTTATGATATGCCTCTCATATTATCTCTTTCACCTATTGTAAAAACACACACATAAATATATTTTGCTTATGTTTTGCTTAGATTTTACATTTGTTTTGCTCATATTTCTTTCAATTGCTTTTCTATATTAGAAAAAAAACAATAAGATGTTACGCAAACACAAACTAATGTTAGATCGAGGGATTTTGATAAACCGATCCTAACAATCATCAATTATATCTAGTTTTATCCGGTTAATAGAAGAGAAAAATGATTTACCAAGTGTTGCGGAGTAGAAAGTCTTGACACCATCCAAGAAATTCAAATCGCCGCTAAGGATTGTCGAGTCTCTGTCCTCGCCAATGATAGTTAAATCAAGACATGTAATAATAACACGTAAGGATCGATCGATATTAGGTATGTTTTTGAAAGAAACTTTACTTTGTAAAATTTACCAATTAATAATATACGTGACATGAAAACAACTCGAGTTCGGATAGTTAGAATCTGTAAAGTCAGTCACTACACAGGCTATAGGTTTTGGTTGACAAGCTTAAAATGACTCCACATGATTGTGAAGTCTTTTAGCCTTAAGACATCAGTGACACTCTGAATCTATAACATGTACCAAAACCAAAACATGTGACTCACACTCAATCATGGATTACTATTAAAGAAACTTAAGCTGAAAATGGAATCTCTTTCTCTTCTCCAATTTATTTGTTTCTAAGCCGAGCTAGGAAATTGGATAAGCACCAAGAAAAAGCTTATTGCTTTCACAATTGGGTTTT